GAACTCACAGAGATCCACCTGCCTCTGCCTCCCGAGTGCTGGGATTAAAGGCGTGCACCACCATGCCTGGCTATAAAGTTATTTTTAAAAAACAAGCCAAGCCAGGTATGGTGGTGCACTGGGTGGGGGCAGAAGGGATAGAGAAAGGTGGATCCCCAAAGCTCATTGGCCAGCCAGCCTGGTCAAATCCATGAGCTTCAGGTTCAGTGAGCAACCTGTCTCAAAAAATAAAAGGCAGTGAGCAATCAAGGAAAGACACCCCGTGTCGACCTCTGGCCTCTACAGAAGTGCATGCACTCATAAACACAACATACAGACACAGACGCACACACACACACAAAGAAAAAGTCACTGAGATGTTGGACCCAACTCTTGCATCAGAGAGAGAGTGGCTAGAGTTGGAGAAATCAATGACACTGTATACACACACTCTTAACTGCTTAACCAGTGCTTGGGCTCCTCTAGGAGCCCCACCAGAAGCCACACTGAGCTTCATCTTAGCATGGGAGCATGAAAAAAATAAGCTTTCTGGGCTGAGGTGATAGTTCTGTTGGTGAGGTACCTGTAATAAGCACAAGGACCTGAGTTTAATCCCCAACACAAGTTAAAAAGCCAGGAGTGGTGATGGCACACTGTAGTATCAGTGCTGGGAAGGTGGGGACAAGTAGATCCCTGGGGCTTAATGCCCAGCTGGCTTAACCAGTAAGCCCCAGGTCCCAGTGAGAGACCTTGTCTCAAAAAATAAGCTGGATGGTTCCTAAAGAAATATACCTGGGGTTGACCTCTGGCCTCTACATGTGCGCACACACTTGGGGGCAGGGGGAGAAGAGAGAGAAGAATATGTTTCTGCAAATACTAAACAGATGGAAAACACGGTAACCCTCCCCCTAAATACAGGCACACTTAGAAATCTCTTTTTCCTTAAATAAGTGATGAAACAACAGCATAATTATGTTTCAAAAAATGTGCTGAAATAAATTTAAAACATTCAGAGAAAGAACAAGAAATTTTTTAGAAGTCTTAAGTAGAAAATAAGTGGGGTGGAGGAACTGGGATTTCCTAGGCCAAAACAAACAAGCAAACAAACAAAAATGTTCATTCACTGTATGCAAACAATGAAACCCCATCCAGGAAACACTATGGGACCTCAGGGCCAGAGTGCTGTCCTTGGTCAGCCCACACTAAAGCAGCTATTGCCCAATTCTCCAGTGACCACCTGCACCCCACCCAACCCTTCAGGCACTGTCTGGGCACCCTCTGCCCTCTCTGCCACATCTGGCCCAGCTGGCCAGGCTGCATTTTGGAGCCCCCAGTCTTTCAGCTTCAGTACCATGCTTCCCTCCCGCACTCTCCTGAGCTAGCTGGGGCCTTTAATGGGGACACAACACGAAGGCGAAGGTGTAAGAAGGGAGAGAGTAGAGCTCTGGGAACCTAGAAAATCAGCACCCGAGGATGTTGTCTGTGGCTTTGTAATTCTACCTTCAAATACCCTAAGTTTTACTTCTGAGTACAAAATACCACCATCCAGAGAAACCGAGAGACAGACTGACGCTTTGGACTCCGTATGTCTAAGATGGAAGTTGATTTTCCATTATAACAAATATTTCTTCTGCATCAGGAAAAAAACGATACAAACTTAAGACATGATTTCCCTACACACCACTGTGTGTGTAGGGAGACCATTAGACTCTTGCTCTGTTTGCCAGTGCACACGGAATTTCCTCTGGTGTCCTAGTGCTCTCTCCCAGCCAGTGTCTGGGATCTGACTCAGATGATACTTTGATTTATTCTTATAGTACTAGGAAATGACTAGAAAAAGCATGGGTTTCTTTAAGTTCACCACCTTCTTTCCCCCTGCATAGGTTAAAACAAAAACAAAAACCAAAAACCCACCACTCAGCCTTTATCAGGTTCTCCCACAGCTTCTGCAGCTTGTCCCTGGCATTCCTCCTTGGCAGTTAAGTTAGTCAGTCTGGCTGCCAGGCAGCCTTGGAGGCAGCAGACCCCTCCACCTGCACCCAACCTGGGAATGCATCTTCCCTCACATACAAAGGAAGGCCATGCATGCGTAGTTCCTGTGAACCCCTTACCGAGTTGACGTCCAGACGACTGGGGACTCGAAGTTTCAAAGGGCTCTGAGCTGGCCTCAGGAGCACTCGGCTCCCACAATTCACTGTTCTCAGACACCTCTGCATAAGTGTCACCCAGCCCTCTGTGAAATGCCACAGGCTCACTAGCACCAGGGCCCTGGTCCTCACTGCTTGTGCCTGCCATGGCCCGGGCCTCTTCACCCATTTTCTCAGCAAACCACTGCTTGACCTGCTGGGCGCTCATCTGGGTCTTGTCGCAGAGGCTCTGCAGGTCCCCCTCATACAGCATCTTGTGTGTCACATAATAATCTTGCAGTAGTTCTCGGTTGCCAGGGGCAATGACCAGCAGACCTGGTGGAAAGTTGCCCCTCTTATAATCTTCGTACCACTTGAGTTGGCCATTCTTCAGAGCATACCTGCTATCTCCAAACCAGCGTACCACCTCTGGCCGGGGAAGCCCTGTTTGGGCCATGATGGAGTCATAGTCCTGGGTGCTGGGCCACTGTGTCTGGACAAAGAGCTGCCGTAGCAAGTGGCGCTGCTGTGCTGTCTTTTTGTAGCTCGCTTTGCCCAGAGGCTGCTCCACCAGCTTATTCAACCCATCGTCCTCAGGCTCACACGCACCCAGTCCCAGAAGCTCACTTCTCCCACTGGCTTCAGTCACTCGCAAGTTCTTAAGGTTAATTTTGATGGGGCTGACCTTACGCTCTGCCAAGGCCTGACTAAGAAACATTTCAGGAGAACCATTTTCACCAGGAACCCTCAGCTCACCAGTCAGCCCTTCTCCACCATCCTCCTCAGCAGCCTCCTCCTCCTCCTGTTGCCCATGTTCATCAGCCATCTTGGTATCCTCAGCATTCACTTTTTTTCGTCTCTCCGCAAACCAGCTGTCAATTTCCCTTCGGGTCATTTTGGTTTCACTTCTCAAGCGGTCCAACTCCTCGTCAAGGGGAAGTGGGTTTTGTGCAAAGCTGTTCTCCAGGGCTCGAAGCTGCTCTGGGGCCCTCTCCTTGTATTTGGTTGGCATGAAGTCTGGAGTCTGGTGCCAGGATTGTCGTTTGGTGGCAGGGTGGCTTGCGAGTGAAGTTGCTGTTGGGATACAGGTCACCTCAGGAACCTTGGATGACAGGGAGAAGGACACCTCCGGCACAGAGTCAATGAGGATGGAGCTCTGCTCTCCAGGCATCATGGCCCTGGAGCCCTTCAGGTTCCGGCAGTGGTATCTCCGATCACTGAACCATTTCCGCACCTCTCTGGTACTAAGGCCTGTCACTTTGGTCAGATGCTCCACCTCGCTCTGTCCAGGGAACTGGTTCCGACAGAAGCTTCCTTTCAGAGCAGACAGCTGTTCGTGAGACTTCTTATTTTTGTAGATGTTTGCATCAAGGAAGGCTTGGGAAGTTATGCTGGGACACGCTGTGAGGAGTGACTGGGCTGCATTGACCACCTTCACAGCTGATGCTGTGTTTGAACACACAGTGTTAATGGGTGCCACAGTTGGCTTTGGGACAGATGCAGTTGTCAGGGGGAGAGATGAGCTTGATGCTTGAATTCCATTGGCCATCAGTGGCTGACTGACTAGGAGTCCCCCTGCTGTGCCCTCTGGCTGTCCCACAACATGGCCTGGGAGGGCAGCCTGGATAAGATGCTGTACATTGCCAGCACTGGCAACCAGGGGGGTGTTGAGAACTGTGATTGTGGGCTGAGGCACAGACTGGATGACTGTGTTGAACATCTTTTTCCGGGCATCCTCAATCTCCTCAGGGGACCAGCTAATTCCCTGTTTCAGCCTCTGGGCTGTGAACCAGATCTTGAGCTGTTCTTCTGGATACTTGGTCACCACAGTCAAGTAGCAGAGCTCAGCTTTGGTTGGGTAAGGGAATTTGTGGAAGGAGTTCTTCAGAAAGCTGTTGGAGTCCATGGCCGCATTGTATGTTGGGATGCTGCTCAAGGGGATCATGACTTTGGGAAGGGTCTTGGATGTAGGTAGGGGCTGGTGGGTGTGGTGCTGGGCATGCACTGGAGGCTGCTGCTGGAGGGAGAGGAACTGTGCTATACCAGCCGGCAGTACTGGCACTGTTCCTATTAGGGGCCCATTGGCAGGGTGGGGTGGCTTTGTGGAGCTAGCAGACGCCTGGCTGACTGGAGCTGCCCCATTGACAAAAGTGTGGTCCCCCTCTTTCACCTCTGCCTCCCCGGCTGATGGCTTTGGCAAGGCCTCAGCCACAGGCTGGCTGGGAGCATTCTCCTTGAGCATGTGGATTTTTTTGGCTTCAGCTTTGCCTTTCATTAACTTCATGATTGGAGTCTTAGTTATGATGATTTCAGCCTGTCCATCAGTCCCTTCAGTGCTGGACTCAGCTGCTGGGTCAGGAGTGCTAGTACTCCCAGGGACAGTCTGCTCCACAACTACATGATTGTCCGGCTTGGTCACATTCCACACAAGGCTGGCTTCCCCCAAGTGACACTTGGCATTGTGCAGGGAAAGCCCCTCAGGGGTTTTTGCCAGGAAACTGCACCCTATGCATACAAACTTTGGGTCTTTATTAAAGTCTGTGTGCTCTGAATTCATATGTCCTACAAACTGAGTCATGTCCTGGGATCTGAAATCACAGTCTTTACAAGAATATAGATAGCCATCCAAAGTGTTCCGATGCCCATTGGCCAGGGCAGAACCATCAGTGTTGCTGGGATTTGGGGCTGTCTCACTGCTGGCAGCAGGTGTCTCTGGGGGCAGATCCTGCTGGGGGCCTTCAGGCGAGGCTTCCACAGGCTGGGCCTCTACACTCACACCCTGCAGGACCACGGTTTTCACTGGGATCATGCATGGGGTGGTGGACTTCCTCTTGCTGGCCATGATGACAGTCACTCTGGGTGATCAGCAGGCAAGAGCTTGTCCCATCAAGGGTCTTACAGTACAAGTTTCAGATACTCCATGAAGGTCCGAGACGTGCTTCTTAGGGCAACTTTGTCAGTTATTTGCAGAAAGGAGGTTTTCCTTATTAAACCTGAGGAGGAAGAGGAAAAAAATAAGGTAAGATTTTGTAATTTCTGTTTCTCAGATCCCTAGACACACTTGAGCTGCTTGCTTTCTAACTTGTAGGTCTTTTCACAGGGAGCTCTTGGCTATGGGTTCTGAGGCAGGAGACCCTTAGCAGCTGCCCTGAAGAATGACTTGGGGATGTCCCCTAACGTGACAAACTTAAATGATACAGCTTCTTTCATCCCTCTATATCTTTGTTAAGTAACTCAGCTTACAAAAAAAAGCACCCTCCTTTGGACATACAAATTAATTCTGACTGTGTTAGAGTGAGAACAAAAGATCCAGTGTAATTCCGTTTAAATATTTGGGCCAACTAGAGTTTTTCTTTTCATAGCCTTCCCACATATAAGAACATGGTGACGCCTCTGTCTCCCAAGCCAGGCCCAGAGACCAAGTCAGTTGTAGAGTGGATGTAGGGGAGGGCTAGGATATGTGCTGCTGAGAGCCAGGCCTCTCTCTGACCTCTCCTGCCCACTGTTCTACCATGTATATTGCCCACCTTGGAAAAAAGTAGAAGTTATTTAGAGTACCCAGGGACACTGTGACCTAGATGAAACCAAAAGTCAGAAGGTCAGGGTATTCACACACCCAGTTTGTGGCACAACAACTCAAAATGAGGCTTCATCTTGGATTCCTGGGCCACCCATGGGCTTGTATTATAGGCCTTTTTTGTATTTTTCATTTTTATTTTCTTTTGGTGTCTTTTTGGTTCCTTTAAAAAACTATTAAATCTTTGATCTGTTTGAAATTTATTTCAAAATCTGAGGGATTTACTTATATTAAAATAATTATTTTGTGATACCAAGAGTAAAGTGTTCCTGTTTCTGCAGTTCGCATTATTAACACATTCATCATCACGGCACTCTCAAGATGCCCAGGCTCATGCTGTTCGGTGTATGCTCTCCTTATCCTAAGTGCCTTTCTACTGTTAGCCCCATGCTTAGATTCATATTAAATTTGCTTTCTAACAGGCTCTGGGGTTTTTTGTTGTTTATTTTATTTACTTATACTTTTTGTGTATGAGTGTTATGCCTACATGTGTGTAAGTGTACCCGTGTTGTGCAACGCCTGCAGAGGTCAGAAGAAGGCGTCAGGTTCCCCTGGACTTGGAGTTACAGACAGTTGTTAGCCAACATGTGGGTGTTGGGAATTGGACCTGGGTCCTCTGTAAGAGCAGTCAGTGCTGTTAACCACTGAGCCATCTCTCCAGCCCCAAGCTCTCTGTTTTTAAAAATGTGTGAATTACAATGACAAAGATTATAGTGATTCTAATATTAAAATAAAATCCACAGATGAGTGGATAATGAAAATGTGGTTCATTTATACGATGGAGTTTTACTCAGCAGTAAAGAAAGATGAAATCATGAAATTTGCAGGTAAATGGATGGAACTAGAAACTGTTATACTAAGTGAAATAACAGACTCAGAAAAAAAAATGACATATGTTCTCTGTCATATGTGGATCCTAGACCAAACCCTGATAAGTGAGTATGTATCCAGACATAACTACAGGAACCAGGATAATGGAAAGGAACCAGGGAGGTAAAGGAAAAGAAAGAATCTGAAAGCAAAGAACAGTAGGAAACAGGTGTTAATAAGGGAGATATGGATTAAAAATGGGGTTATTTTAAGGGGAGGCGAGAGGGAAGATTATACAAGGAACCTAGGGGATAAAGGGAAAGAAGGAGTTCAAGAGAGGTAGGACCACAGGAGAAGGGTATTAGTAAGAGAGAAATGGGAAAAATGGTGGCACCTTAAATGGGGAAACCATGAAGGGTTAGACAATGTGAGAGATAAATAATGCCTAGCTAGTTTTAAAAAACCAGAGGGAACCATATTAGTCCAACAACCTACTGACAAATTATACATACAACTAGATCAAAGAATATAATATCTGTCTAGGCAAGCTTTATCTACATGGCACATGGTAATTAACAGTACCAAGACTGGTGGAACTAACCTTGGATGTTTAACAGCCATACTTTGAGGCCTATACTAATATGGTCAGAAGGACATAAAGGACAGTTTTGAATCTTTGCCCTCCTAGGTCGACTAAGATCCAGAGGACTATGAGCATCTCTCAAAATGTCCTGTAACTGTGGTGAGTCACCTGTCCTCTTGATCAAGGAGGCCATGGAGACCCCACCAGATGGACTTGAACCAGTGTCCACTCTACAAAGAGGAGGGTCAACACAGAGGAAACATTTCCTCCATGCTTCCAAGCGAAACCAGCCATGGTGGAGCAGGACCTTTGACTTACCTTCACATAGACAGAACAGGTCAAAGGAGCCAGGGGCTCCTCCCAAGCCCATGTGACCCCTGAGGAACAGATCCTCAAATGGCCTTAAGAGTAAAAATAAATTGGTTTATTTGGGCCAACTGTAGAGTCTTACACACCCAAAAGGAAAGCATAACCAAAGATTAAAGGATCAATAGAATTTTTTAAGAGTCCATATGTATAGCTAAAGGCTACATAACAAGAAGCAATGCCAGACAGGAGATACCTTCCTTTGAGTCGTTGGCCAGGGTGGCTCAAGAGACTCCCAGACAGTAACCCAGCATAGAACAGGGAAAATGAACAGCAGACCCCAATCTTATCTAAAGGCTTATTGACAACTGATTGCCGCTAGATGAGGAAGAGCTTATCTTCCTAAAACAAGGATTTCTAGATAGGCTGACTAGACTCAGCAGATGGACAAGCACTGGGGAACAGCTGGGGGCGCTGACAACACAGTAGACAGCAACAGGGATGACAGAGTATATGGACTCTAGTCGGGGGAGGAGGCTATGGGAGGGTGCCATTTGAGAAGTGGGTATATAGATGAATAAGATTGTTTGGGATGTTCTGTATGATATATGCACAAAAAAAATCAACAAATTTTAAAAATGAGTTATATTTGAGGAGGAAGCATGGAAATATACTTCATGTTAATTAGTAGAGGTGATAAACATTACCATTGAAATCTACCTGATGACTTTATATCCATACTCAGGTACCAAGGATCCAAGTGTAACTGACTAGGACTACTAATAATCAGATAGAGATTAAAGACGCATGTGCAAACATCTAAGTGTTAGTAGCATTAAAAATGAGTCTTTCTGCCATGCCTTTGGCGCATGCCTTTAATCTCAGCACTCGGGAGGCAGAGGCAGGTGGATCTCTGTGAGTTCAAGGCCAGCCTTGTCTACATAGTGAGTTCCAGGACAGCTGGGGCTACAGGGAGACCCTGTCTCAAAAAGACCAAAAAAAAAAAAAAAGTCTTTCTGTAGGCAGCTTTCGATAATATATTTTTAAAAATCATTTTTGTGGTGGGGGGGCACATGCCTT